TATATATATATATATATAAGCGAGTGTGGTTTATGAATCATTGAGGTTATTGCATATGAATTTTGTCTTGGAGAAATATCAAAATGTAATTTAAGAGAAAACAAAAGGAGAATTCTACGTTAAAAAATCAGCTTTGCTATAGTCTTGTTTGAATGAGATATGAACCTCATTCGAACATGATTTGAACCTACTTAACTATAAATTGAAATTCATGTATTTATAAATGTACTCATGAAAATGAGTTAAAGTAAGAGGAGATTAATACGAAAATAGGAATAAAGATTTCAAGTGGGGAATAAAATTGATAAAAAAAAAATATGCCTCTATCAAATGAATCAACCTTTTGTATGGTCAAATCTATATATCTATAATTGTACTCATGGAGGCATATTCTTCATTATGTTTTCCCTTTTCAAGAACACTAGCTATACCTTTAAACCAAACTCCTTTAACTTGATTCCACTTACAAGGTAAGTTCATGTATATAAGAGTATAAAATTGCAACTGAGCTAGTTTGTTTAAATAAGATTTGAGTATCATTAATAAGGCTAAAGCCTTGTTCAAGGACTCGTAGAGCTAAATTTTACGTCTAAGGTTAGACACTATATCTCAAATGAACATTTGATATTTATTCAAGCAATGATTGAATATGAATACATTATTCAAAGACCAACTCTACTATCTCAATTTTGTAATATTCATAAATCGATGATGACATTTAAATTTTTATTACCAAAAGAATATGAGTACTAATCACTACAGATTTAAAGAGCCCTTAGTGAAACTTCGTGGTAGAGAGTTACTCAAAGGCGAAAAAAGATGTTGTTTGGAAGAAGTCAATGATGCATGAAAAAGAGATATTTCAACGACTATCTCATTCGATTTTCTTAAAATATTTCTAAGTAACATCCCTTAAATTACAATTTTTAATAATAATTTTGTCTGAAAGCAACTTCCAAGAATATTTCATAAGAAAATAAGCTGTATATACTTTTAGGAAGTATCTCTCTTGCATCTTTTTTAACAAATCGATTTAACTCTACATTGAGTTCCTTCAATATTTATCTTATAGAGCTTCCTTCATGACTTTAATTTTGATCACCTATGATTAATTTCTTCTACAAATTAGAAAAATATCTCTACTTTTTGGGTAATTTTGGGGTAGTATGATCATGCTTTGTAACTTGAAATCAAATTAAGGTTAGGTTTTTCAATATATCAACTACTTCATCTAAATCTCTTACTCTAGGTAGCGAGCATGTCTATTCATCAAATGTCACATGATTAGATTCATATGGAATCATTATTTAGTTATTGAACATTGTAAATGACTTAATATAATGTGAATTATAAAAAATACTCTATCTAACCATAAAATTTCTTATGACCCACTTTAAACTTTTCAGTACAAATCACTTAGATTAAAAAAAAGTAGATAAATTTGGTTACTTTCTTTTCTAGATCACCTTAAAAGCCTTATTAAAAATTAATTTTATATTTACTTCATTAATTATATGACAAATCATATTTATTATTGTAACTCATAAATGCTTACGTAAGAAAATCTTTATTATTGTAACCTATGAGAAATGTTTCACCAGTTAGTTAAATTAAATTAACAATAAATTGATCGTCATGCCCTTTATTACATAATTACCTGATACTGATTAGGTTGCGCTTCAATCTATTAACTAGTATGACCTTTTTTATGATTGTACGACAACTGATAGTACCAACTCTAAAAATTTTTCTTTTCGTATTATCTACTAATAACATATAGCCTCCATCTCATGGTTTTAGTGATGTAATTTTGTAAGATTGCTCATTATGTGTGTCCAGCATCAACTTTCCAATACCACCTATTTTCAACAATCTTAGAGATAAAGCATTCCTAAAGCATTCCTACGTAATAAGTCTATCCAACAGTTTAGGATGCTCAATTGCTCTTGGTTCGCTCATAAAATGGAAAGAGTAAACAAACTATGCTCAAGTGAAAACAAAATCTATGCAAATGTGAGTTTACGTATCCAAACAAACCATGATGATATATGAGTGTTTCTACTCCTATAAGTTGTAAATATATTACCTAAACCACCAGACATTGTGCACTAAACATGTTTATTTACATATGAGTGATTTTGTAAGATCCTTTTAATGTTATATGAAATTTAAGATACATTTACAAAAGTTTTCTTAAGAGAAACTATGCAACAAATAAACTTTAGCTTTCAAAAAAAGATTATCCTAAAATAAATTATCACATAATGATGTCACACCTAACAAAAAATTATTTTTTTTTTTGATTAGAACATATAAACTTATTTTGAAGCTAAATAAAATATGAAGTTAAATTAAGATGCTCAATTT